AAGAGATCTTTCCAGAGCCACCCATTCTAGCCTTCAAACAAGCACCAAACCTCGCTCAGATTATAATTGTTCAGGTTCAAAAAAACGAAAACCAAAACTACACACGTGTGCTTTGGCACCTAGAGAATGACAACTACTATGTAACAGACACACAACAATAAGTGTTTGGAACCAGGGCCAAAAAGCATAGTCAACATACCAAAATGAAAGACAGAAAAATGTAAATGATTTTTCATTTAGACTAGTGTCAAAAGAGAGGCCATTTGCTTGAGAAAGGAGAGAAACACAGTAAAAGGGAGACCTATCGATGAATAACATGAATATGCAAAGATGTTCTCAATACAAAGGTGAAACCACCAAACCTATTTATTTTAAAAGCTGACCAATAACCAATAGCATATTTATGATTTACCTTGTATACCTGGAGTAGTACATCCATCCATACACGTTTGCTCATGGTCTCAAAAACTCTGTCATCCAAAACAAGTAGATGCTTATCATTGGGTGGGTCAGAGCTTTTTACATTAGTTTTTTGCAACTCAGTCCTCTGAACCTTCAGATAAACAAAATGATATTTATGTTTAGATTATAAAATATTAAAATATGACATCTAGAAGGTAAGAAAACGATGAGCAACAGATTTCTCTGGCTTTAAAAAGTGTGTTAAACCAGTAAATGGAATTACAAATTTTATAAAAGAAAAGCAGTAGCTGTAATAAGACTGAGTTCCTCAGTTTGCCCAACTAGTACGTACACAGGAAAAGAACAGTTTAACAGTGACCCTGCTGGGTCCTACAGTTGCCTGTGTGCTGGATGGACAATATAAGATCACAGGATAGTAGGGCTGGAAAGGACCTCACAAGATCATTTAGTCCAGCACTCTGCTGATGGCAGAATCATCCTCAACTAACCCATCCGAGTCAACTGTCTGTCAAACATGCTTTTGAAAACTTCTAAGCGTGGAGATTCCACAATTTCTCTACATAGCTTGCTCCAATGCTTGGCCACCCACCTAGTCAGAAAGTCACTCCTAATTTCCAGCCTAAATTTCCCCTACAGGAGCTTAAGGCCATTACTCCTAGTCCTGTCCCCTACAGCCACAAAGAAAAGCCCATCTCCATCCACTCTATAATCATGCTTCAGGTATTTTAAGACTATTATCAAATCCCTCCTCAGTCTTCTCTTTTCCAAACTAAATAACCCTTCTTTCAGCCTTTCCTCGCAAGTCATGTTTTCCAGGCATCTAATCATTTTTGTCACTCTCTGCTGGACTCTCTGCAAGCTGTATATATCTTTCTTGAAATGTGGTGCCCAAAACTGAACACAGTACTCCAAATGAGGCCTCATCAGGGCTGAACAGACTTTAAGAATCACTTCCCTTGATTTTGCAAGTGACAGTCCTGTTAATACAACCCAATATGCAGTTGACCATTTTCACAACAAGAACACACTATTTGCTCATATTTAGCCTATGATCTACTCTAACCCTCTGGTCCTTCTCTGAAGTACTGCAGTCTAGCTACTCATTCCTCTATCTGTATTTGTGAATGCAATTATTCTGTCTTCAGGATTTCTCACTTGCCTTTGCTGAATTTCACATGGTTGATTGTGCACCATTTCTCCAGTCTATCCAAGTCATTCTGGATCCTAGCCCTACCCTCTACAGTGTACAATTCTGCTTAAGAGCTGGCATGAGACAGCTCAACAGAAAGTGTGGCTTGCAGGTAATGTTGATACAGAGGAGATAAGAGCCTGAGGGGCAAGACTGGGGCCAGCCAGGTATAAGAGGTAACATAACCTCCCTTAACACCATAAAAGTTTCATGAAGACATGGCAGGTGAGGATAAGGGATGGTACCCTGAGGAGCTGGAGCGGGGGCAGGAGTTGAACAGCCAAACAGGGGTGTCATGGCTGCCCCTGGGGTGTGAACCTGCTACCATGGCCTTTGCCCCAGTATCTGCCTTTTCTGAAGGAAGACAGAGTGCTTTCTGCTTGGAATATAGGGTGTACTCTATTCTCCTAAAAACAGGTAAAGTCCCTCTCTCAGGAGCTAAACTGGAAGGTTCAGCCTCTGAGGCAGGGCCACAGATTGCAAGAGAAGGTCAGAAAGCAAAAGGCCAATGTCTCAGAGTCAGAAGATGCCAGGGATTCCCCTGACTCTTGGGATTGCTTCAGGGAGTACTCAAAGACCAGAGATGGTCACAGAAGTTCTGAGCAAATACTCCCCTGGGGGATCCCATGAAAGGAACATGCTAAGAAGTACATAAAACATGCCATTTTACAACATTTTTTCCCCTCAAATTAAAGTTTAGCTACCCTGGATAGAACACCAGTTGAGAGTGAAAAATAAATTACTAGAAAAAAATGACCCTGGTGTAATGATAAAAGATGACATATGCCACATGGAATGACACAAGAAAATTGGCCTGCTCATCTCACTGGGACATCTCAAAGGGCACAACACATATGGACAAATATTTGAAGCGCTGAAGACATGGCAAACTGTTTGAACACCCGTATGCCTACTTTTTGTGGCTGTAAAAGAGCATACATCCTGGAATAAATGTAATGTCTGCTTATGGCCTATAAATGTTCAGATTAAAAAACTAAAACCAGCATACAGTCTTTGCTGCATCACAGTTACCTTCAATGCAATTTGCAGTCGGATCCAGTTCTTATAATCATCAAGTTCAAGTAGAAATTCAGGCATTACATGTGGAAGGCATGCTCCTTGGCTTCTAAAATGACACGCAAACAATGAAGAGAAATTACTACGTAACTACATTAAGAGATCACCTTGAATTTTCTGCCCAGTTTTGTCTACTAACTGTATGTTAAACTCCTGCTGCAAACAATTGACAGTGCAAACATAATGCAGGCACTTAGCTAGCTGTCTGTGCAAAATGTGAATGATACAATTTGCTACAGCAATTAATTGTGGGCAGTAAATTATAGGCTGTATTATGGCCCTTTAGAAATTTAGCAGAGTAAGTTCTACAGTTTGAAAAAGGTCAATTTGTGGAAAAATGAGCAAAGAATATTACAAAGGTTTTGTCAATAAGCTCTGTATAATGCATTGAAAACATTCTATAAACTTACTAAAAATTGTTTATTAGCACTACAATTAATTTCTCTCAATATAAGCTCTGGCCAAATAGGAAATATCATTTATCATACTGCATAATAAGTAGCATTTGGCACTGTGAAAAAATGCATATTTTATAACAAATGGAAATCGACCAAAATTGAAGTGAGAAGCAGCCACTGAAACAAAAAAAAAAATGCATTCTACTCCTGAGAGAGCGCTATAATTTTAAAAGATGCAGAACTACTGTATCATCAGATGAATGCACTTTAGCACATTGCTGGTATGAAAATTAAAATAAGAGAAGAAGGAAAATGCAGCATTAGCAAGACAAAGTATAAAAAGGAAGCAATAGGAAGAAGGCAATGGGTATCAAGAAGTAGTGGCCAGTGCTCATTAAATGGTCTCTGATTTGACTGCCCTACAGATTGTTTTGCAGTTAGTTTCTTCCAATATTTTCAGGTCTAGATTGTTTCTACCAGATAGAAGTGCAGAGTTTACAGTGCATACTGCTAAGGTGAATCAAAACAATTTTGCCAGTTTATATATTTTGATTATAAAAGAACTTCTGAAATAAACCATACATCAAAGGGAAGGTTTGCTTACTGAGGTTTCTGTGCACCTTTTCTCTGGTCTTTACATAAGACATCTCCTTACCTAAGGTAAGGGCTGTAAAAACAGTTTTAGGCAGTATAAGAGAATTTCCCTAGTCAACAAGTCAAAGTGGTGTAAGGGGCAATCCTTTTTTAATGCTTCTGCAGCAAGAAAATAGATCTGGGTGATATTTTTCTGACATCTTTTTTTCTTGATCTATACCAGAGCTGCCAAAGGCTGCATGCCAAACCCAGTCACCTTAAGACAGTGACCAAAGGAGCACTGATATCACACCTGACTTCAATACATATTCTACGGACAAGTTGGAGAATCAGGTTATTTAGTTTCTTGTCTAAGACAAATGGGAATCTTTTTAAATTCCATATTAGCAGCAGGATACAATATGTCTTTATAATGATATTTTATTTCCCAGCTACTGATGCCAAGAATTTAGAGAATGTTCAGTAAAGAAGCTACAACTAACTTAAACATTCCAATGTTATACTACCTAGTTAACTTTGAAGATTATTTCACAATTTGGCTATTCTAAAAAGTATTTCTCACTTTGTTTCCAAACTTCCTAACAGAATATGCATAGTTTTCTTTTGAAAGGAATAACTGTTTAATGTCAAATTCTTCTATCTAATCAGGCACATTGTCACATTTCTAATTGAGCATACACAAAAAGTTCTAACCAGGGTCATTTTATAATCTAGCTTTATGGCTTTTTTTAATTCTTTTGTCTGCATTTTGGGGTAATGAGCAAATTTTATTAACTATGCTATTTGAGAAGAGCCAATATGGCCTAAAAATTGTTTGATGCTAAAAGTACATATACATCTGGGAAGATTGCTAGAACTGTTCCTCAATATTAAATTTCTTAGACCTTGAAGCATCAAAACATATGCTGCCTATTTCAGTTTCAGAGCCACAGGAATCAAAGCCAAAAATAATGTAATAAACATCACAACGTTGACAGGATTAAAACTTAATCATGCTATTATCTGCCTGAAGATACAGTACTGGAAATCTTACTTAGGAGTTCAAGACCTGACATTTTGTAGCCCTTTAAACAACTATATAGCTGAATTGCTATCTGCTCTCATGAGCCAAGGTGAATAAAAAGATAGGAGAAGTAAGCACAGTAGTTAAGGTAACCATAGTATACTTAGTCTGATTTAAAACAAAATTTGTCTGCTAATTGAAAAAAAATCTATTCTTTATGTCAAAGCACGGGATTTAAAGAAGCATTGAATGGAAGTGAAGATTTAAAAAAAAAAAAAAAAAATCAAAGTCTACTTTCTTCAGGAGAGTACAAAAGCCACCTAACTGCTTTTTCAGAAATAGTTTCTTAAGATATTTAGTTTTAAATTCCTGTTACCAATTTCATCTCTAGCATTAAGAGCTGTAATCAGATGAGTTTGCTAAGTATATATCTAGTGTCTCATTTTAAACTGGATGACTGTACATTTTCAATACTGAAGTATACAACTTCAACTTTACTTTGTAAATTGAAATTTCTAGGTTTTCATTTTTTTCTCTTGCAGCAGATAGCAATCAAAAATAAACAGAGAAAACAGACATAAAATATTTTGAATCCATGGTTTCCAGAATCTACACAATAGTACACACCTCAGATGATCCAGTTCTGAAATTTGACACAGTCAACTCCAATTGTTTTAAAAAAATGTCTTTTAATCTAGATCCACAAATATCATCATAAAGCTATTGTCCCTGTAAATTTGTACCAACTTTGGGACTCAAGAAATTGTGTTCTCCATAAATTCCCAGGCTCATCCCCATAACAAAACCCTATAACTCTCTCCTCCTTACAGAAATATGACAAAGAAAGCTACATAAATTTCCTCTCTCTCCAAAGTTTCTCTGTCATCTTTCCAGGGTCCCACCATCCCACACT